TAAGATGGTAAAGTTGCGTCATATTGTGATATAATAAGTATATATTAAATCTTGTCCGTCTAATCGCAATAAATTCTTATTAAATATTAAAATATTATATTAATTAACATTTAAAATATTTAAAATATTAAATGATGTTCTTTATCGAAATATTCGATTTACATTAGACCATCATTTTTTTTTCATTTTTCATGTGAAACATGAAAAATGATGGTCTAATGTAAATCGAATATTTCGATAAAGAACATCATTTAATATTTTAAATATTTTAAATGTTAATTATTGTAATATTTTAATATTTAATAAGAATTTATTGTGATTAGACGGACAAGATTTAAATATATATTTATTATATCACAATATGACGCAATTTTACCATCTTATGAAATTTATACTAAAATGTATTAAATAATTTATATTTATATTCAAATGAGATAATATACATAAATAAATCCAAATATACATTAAGATACGGCAAGAAAATATTTCTGAGCAGAAAAAGAGTCAGACAACATTCTGTATGCACGATAATTAATATAGCTTTTGTGTAAACATCAGAAATATTTTCATGCGTGTACCAAATTCGAACAGAATGATGATAGTCCACATTTTCCCTATCACAACTTCTTTTAGTATTTAACAGTTTACACACACTTTCCGTTATGTTTCTGTTTTATTCCAGTAACTGAAAAGCAGTTGAATTATTACGTCGTAATCTATTACATTCATAAAATTCAATAATTTTTACTTTGTACTTAATTTTGGGAAACATTCCCACAGCCTTACAGCAATTTTTTTTTTGTAATTTTTGTAAATATATACAATTAAGCACCTCTTCTAACTCTGTTCAGTGGCATTGTGGATGAACGTTGTGGGGATAACATGCAGATCTCACGAAAATTATATCTGTAACTCTTATCAATGTGGCGTTTTAACAAATAAGTTTCAACTGATGAATTAATATCCGATGATTTATCGACGTCGGACGTCCATGTGAGGTCAACACTCTCGAAACCTAAGCTTGGTTCCTGAGTAACAAACATCCAAGTGACGTAACGCGAAATTATCCGGGAATCACCAGTTGGTTCAGCCCGTTAACTGCATATCAGACGTTTTAAAAGACGCCACGATTAATTAATGATACGCCAACTTACTCTTCAACGAAAACCATGGAGAAAATTCATTCCTCAGAACCTAAATCTCGTTCATCCAATCGAGAATTTATACGCCTTTTATAAAACCCGATGATTTATTATCATGTTTACAAGATCGCTTATCCGCTGAAATTATACCTTTCTTTAAGGTGAACAATTTTAAGCAAATGTCCAGCCCCCAAGTTGGAGGACCACCCACTGTCGGCTGTCCATGACTGCTTATTCTATTTATTCGCAATTACCCACCATATCTGGAGGCAATTTCCTCTACGTAATAATAAATTACTTTAAATTTATTTGCACTGTAAGATCTTCCATCAACTCCTCACTGATTGGCTTCAACTAGCATCGTATATTGGATCCGTCGAACGGTTAAAGATTTTAAAGTCATATCCATTCACGCTGCTAGAATTCCTCGATGGGGGATCAGCCAAATCTTTTTTAGTTTATGTATCAGTGCAAAATAACACGTGGAGTTGATACAAAGTTAATCCTGGTTACCGTGATGTCTAAGGCGCGTGTGGTATTAGGCATCTTATGCGCTGGGACTGCGTGTTCGAACCCCCTTGTTGCACGTAATGTCGTCATAGTTTTTTTGTCTAATCCTGTGAAGGTAAATACAAGCATTGCACCATAATATCGCGTCTTAATAGACGAAGCTCGAGTTACAAATTGGGCTATATCGCATTATAAACAGCTCATATAGATTTAAGTAAACATTTTACGAATCTGACAATTGTTTCCTTATTGAATAGCGTCTTTCTCTGATACAATATTTTCTAAACACAATGTCATTTATAAACTGAAATTATTCGAAGGAAAAAAAAGTGTCCCACCATCTATGAACAGTTACACGAACTATTTACGGCTTTGAATCAATAAAAATTACACGTTCGTAAGTTTACATTATAACAGATGAAGATACCTGGACAAGAATTGAACGAGCTGAAGAAATCTATAAATTATGTGTTTCAGAATCAGTTCATTAATGAGGATGATGCCGTGTTTCGGCTGGAACAATCGCTCGTCCGAAGCAATGAAAATCAGTTCAACAAAGGGAGAGGCTGACAACGTGATGGCGAGCTTCAATTGTTGTTGTAACTTCCCTAGTTGCCACGAGTGTCGCGACAGTCTGTCCAAGCAGCCATTACGAGGGCAGGATGACGCGGTCCAAACTCGCACCAGATGGAGAGGAAGCCAGAGATACAGTTTTACGAACTTTCATAAAGGTGAGTTCCTTTTTAAGTCTCAGGACTTTTAGCGAACAGACACACGGACATAGATAAATCAGAGGCGAGATTTGATGTCCTCACGGCGGCAAGTTCGAAGATGGATGTCTTCTGGGTCGTAGCGCCGTGTAGAAGTTTACCAACGTTTCTGAGGTCCTTATTGCCTCCTTCATCAAGGCGATAAAACGTTGGTAAATTTGTACCAAATTACAAGGAGCTTCCACCTACAAGACAACCATGTTCGTACTATACGAGGTGCGATCGGAAAGTTTCAAGACTGCGCCTATAAAAACCCGTACACTTATCTCAGGTATTAAATTCATCCATCACCCTCGAAGTAGTTCCCCTGGGAGTGAACACAACGATCCCAGCGCCGCTGCCAAGCCTGGAAGCATCCCTGGAAATCTTTCTTTGTCAGCCTGTCAAGCACCATCTGCGATTCTGCCTGAATCTCTTCTATCGTCTCAAATCTCCTTCCCTTTAGCTGAATTTTCATCTTTGGGAAGAGGAAGAAGTCACACGGAGCTAAGGAGGTTGCGGGATGACGGCCATGGTGTTTGAGGCCAACAACTGCCGAACTTTGAGGGCGGTGTGCGCTGGCGCGTTGTCTTGATGCGTCGCATGTGGAGTTCTTCCTTTAGAATCAGCTGACAGGTCCCATAGCCTATCCCAGCAATGTCGCACAAGTCGTTGATGGTACGACGTCGATCTTCGTAACTTTTTCGGGCGTTGTGCTCGAAGATGGTCGTCCAGAACGCTCGTCATCATCGCCAGAGGTTCGGCCATTTTTAAAACGTGAATGCCACACAAAAGTTTGCGGACTCCCCAAATGCTTGCTTTAGCATTTCATAGGTTTCCGTAGCCGTTTTGGCGAGTCTTTGGCAAAATTTGATGCACACGCCATTCCGAAATCGCAGGAGGGTCGGTGTAATGCACTACCAAGACGCCCGTAACTAAGAAACAAATGCTAATTCGATGATGCCGGCTGGCACACTGATTCACTATGAATGTAGGCCGCACCTCCTAGCGGCAGAAGCTCTTACTACATCCGGTTCGCCCTCTATTGACACAGTCTTGAAACTTTCCGATCGCACCTCGTAAGCGGTGTCTAGAAAATAAAAGGACTTATTTGTTTTTTGAAAGGACACCTATTTATTTTCCTAAAATAATTACATCTATCTGGAGAATCTAATCATGAATACATTTTATATAACAGTACGTAAACTGGAGGCTACAAATTGCTACGAAAATAATAGGCTATAGTTTATGATAACTGCGAAACGTATATAAGAGTGAATTTGAGCCCAATTTGTTTGTTACGCGTCGAGATTTGGATGAAAATAGAAAGAGAAATGAAAGATAATTGGAGAAGGAATTTGAAAAGTTGTTAAATGATAACTAGCGGAGAACATATTCACTGACTTGATAATATTAATAATTCTTTCATTTAATTTTTTTTGAGTTGATACGTTCCTATTTAAAAATTTGTTCATCCCTGTTCTAAACGACTGAAGTGCTGTTAAACTGTCGGCACGATTCAGAATAAGAAAGCCGGAAGTCGAGTTTCGTAATGGCTGCTCGACGTAAACTTTCATCCATAAAGTTGCACATATTAACAGGGCATTGTCAAGAGACGCTTTGACGACAATCATCTTCTGTGACGTCATTGCCAAGAGCATCACAAGTCACTTCAAACAGCGCATTAAATAGAAAAATCGAGAGGTGACTGTATCCGCGGTGCCCACACCTCGATGAGTACAAAGAATACTTTGCTGAATTATTCATGAAGTATTTAAGACTGCAAACCAGCGGCAAAGGTTGGTATGACTTGACGGAGGGGCGAGTTACGAACTGAGAGCTATTGGCCTCGTGATAAGTTTTAAAATGTTGTCATAAGAGACTGAACCTGGCATAAACAATTTTATTTTATTTAGTGTTCTGTCTGACGACAGGTCCATATGAACAGGATCCTTCCATCCTTTTCTCGGACTGGGACCTGTTCATATACGTTCTTGGCAGATGATCCAGAAGTGGTTTGCCATTGCCTTCGTCTGTGTGTGAATGGAGTAATTGTTGGGACGCCACGGAGAAACCGGGGAAGCCCCCAGAGGAAAACAGGATCCTTCCCTCCTTTTCTCGGCCTGGGACCTGTTCATATACGTTTTGGCAGATGATCCAGAAGTGGTTTGCCCTTGCCTTCTTCTGTGTGTGAATGGAGTAATTGTTGGGATGCCACGGAGAAACCGGGGAAGCCCCCGGAGGAAAACTCCGTGTTGCCTAGACCACGGCCTTGCCCAACACAAGTTATAAATTCGGGCACCGCCGAGAATCGAACCCGAGACCCCAGGATTACAAGGCCAGCGTTCTAACCGCTAGAAATAAATAACAAAACCTAGGATCTATATTTTCACTAACCGAGATTAAAACAACGTAAAGTAACAAAAAGGCTTACAGTTGTTTATAAGTTTGTCTCAACTCGTAACTACATTCCTTAACTCACAATGCAAATGCAGCCACACCCTTAACAAAACGTAATTTCTAAAGTACGGATTCTCAGAGAAATGTAAAACGCAAGCAATGAATCTTTTGCCCACGACGGAGTTCACAGCTCTCGGCCGACTGACGTCACGTCCCCACAGGACCTTATAAGGTTAAAAGCCGCTGCCAGTGTGCCATCTCCTCATTCATGTAGACAACTGGACCCCCTCCTTTAAAATTTCTGCGCTGCATATAAGTACACGTATTCAAAAGATTTATTGAGTGTAGAAGACAATTGTAGTTGGAAAAATTGTTACCAAGTATATGAATGTAATTAAAATTATTTGTTTTTGGTTCAAAATTATAAAAAAAAAAGTCCGAAGATTCCCAACATATCGCTTTCGACATTAGGAAATTTCTTGATATTTTACAAAACTACTGAAAACTATAAAATAATCTTGACAATTTAAGGTATTTATATTGGAACGTTTTGGAATATTATGTTGAGTTTAGTTTCAGTAAATAAATTCACAATTCGTAAATATTCAAACGAGGTGATAGTATTGTGAGTCTATTCTTCAATTTTCTGAAGAAAAAAAAATACGTCACAAACATTTATCACTGCGTTAAGAGTGAAATATGAGCAATTTATTTGAAATTTTTTTAAATTGTTAAGAATTTAATTCCCAATGAATGATTAAGTTTCTTAGTCCGGCGTTCTGAGACCCTTCAGCTTAGCCCCCACAAGTTGTTCGTCACTCAAAACTGTTCCTGAGGTAACATTCGTGTTGTTGACTTATTAAATTCTGAATAAAATTTACAAGGATCTCCAATAAACGTGTTATGTCTTATGTAATATTTCCATAACATTCAGGTATTTAAAAAAACTACTATTATAATAGAGTAGCAATGAAAAATGCACTGTCGTAAGCGATGTCCAATCTCTTTCTGTCGGTATACCACGTGACCTGATTTATACAACACATTGCTTATATTTGCATAGAGCATGGACGCCATGTGTACATAAGATAACAATTTCCAAAGGCATCTCAAGAGTGAATTGTCAGTTCCTGTTACGTAATGGCGTGTGAGGTATGAACCCCTGACCTGATATCTACAAAGAGAGCTTTTTCGTAAATTCAAAATTATTTTATAACGAATATACAATTAGTATTGAATGACGTAATATATTTGAAGTACGACCTATTAATGGAGCGATATTGTTAGCACGAGGCTCGTCCTTAAAGTAAGTTTCCCTGGGGCCGTTTACAGAAACAAAACACAATTTCATGGAAATATTTGTTGCAACAGATACAGCAAGTATCCAGCTATTTTTCAACATATTCGCCACCGGAATTGAGACATTTGTCATTCCGTGGGACCAACTTTTGAATACCTGTGTCGTAGAAGTCTGCCGCCTGGGATTGGAACCACTGTGTGACAACCATCTCCGC